ATACCAATAATAATACATCTAATTAACATCATAATTTAATATTTTAAAAAATAATAAAGTTCCACTAAGTTCACCTTGGCCATTATTTTGGGACTTTCACTAAGTTCATCTTAACTTCTTATTGTTGCTTTAAGAAATTGAACTTCTTCTTCTAGCATTCGAACTTGGTAGTACAACTGTCGTATCTCATCGGTGAAAGCTTCATCAACCCATTTGAAGACGTGATTTTCGTTCTCAAGGCACAACAGATTAAATGTACCAATTAAAATAAGAACGAGTAAGCCTTAAATAATTAAAGCTAAATGTATGTACCCTTAGTGAAGCCGCATAGAGACACCGATAATACCGGCGATGTGGGTTTTGATTGCTTCTGGACATGAGCTCGGTAATGTTCACCCTACACCAACACTTACTAGGTATTTCCAGAGTTTGTACTCGTCTCCGACCACCGGTCGTGGAAGATGAAGCAAACATCTTCATTATTTCTCTCTCGGAATTAGGAGGAGTTCGGTTGGGAGAGAGATAAATTAGGGAAGAGAGAGAGAAAAGGGAAGATAACGAATGGGGAAAATCAAAAAGGTCTTTAATACTTAGATTAAACGATTTAGGGATTTTAGCAAATTGAGAAGAGTGAAATTTGAAATTTGAAAAGTTGGGTGGGAAATTTTGTCCAAGATTTTATGGTAGAATTTTCACCAAGTTTTTAGTTTTACAAAAAAACATCAAATTGTACTTTTTATTTATTTTCATTTATCTTAGTTAAACTCTACTTAAATGGCTGATTTTATAGTTATATCAGTTAAATTATGTTTCTTTGGTTCATTTTGCATACGATCATGTTTACATAAACTTTATTTCGTGCCATTAGCAAATTTTCAAATGTAACGAGGTGAATATTAATGAAAAAGCTATGTAAACGCAGTGTATTTCCTAAATGCTTGCTAACAAGCAATGAGATAGAATTTTAGTAATTCTGATTAATCATAATTATCATAAATATTAAAAATAAATCACCATCTTATTACTTCCATGACTTATTAACAAGTTTAAAATTTACAATCATATTACTCAGTTTACATATCGTAATTATACTAGTAAAGAAAAAAGTTTCACTTGGTTGTACAACACACAAATACAAATTTCACCTCGCAACGTTCCCATACGATAAAAACATCAAAACTGAAAGTGAAAGGCTTACAACCTACTTTACATCAAAACTGAAATCAAAAGGTTTACAACCTACTTCACATCAAAACTGAAAGCAAAAGGTTTACAACCTACTCCTCTTTTGTTTCTTGTGGGGGTGTTCATCGTGTTCTAAACCAGTGCCCACATTTTCTTCTTCTCCATGTCCACTCTCAGGTTCACTATAATTCCTACTACAATAGCTTTCTCCAACTCTTGATAGTTGCTCGGTTATTTGAACTATTTGCAATTCTTGGATGTCCTCCACATGCAAAATACTTCTTGTTTGTTCTCTATCCACTGATGTTAGATAAACAAAACACATTTTCATCATCCAAAATATATGATTGCCTCGTAGGTTCCACTACCAAGAAAATGTAACCCAAATTGAGCCCCTTCGTAAACGGATTTATTCTCATCTTCCTACATATCCTCTCATTCAACAATGAATAAATGGTCTCTTACAGTGATGATGTCTTCAATAGAGTTCTAGATGTTTCTCTCAAAACCAAATAGTAATCAGCTTTCTTTGATTAGATCGTCCTTTCATTCCCGACATTTAATCATACAGTTATTGATTATCCAATTGAGTAATAGATAGACCATCCACACTTTCCGGTCTTCATACACAAATGAATAAGAAATTTTTCATTACTACGAATCGAGTCTTCAGTTCAAAACCAAATTGTAATCAGCTTTGATTTCCGACATGCAATTATACAGTTGTTGATTATTGAATTCCCTAATAAACAGACCTTTCAAACTTTCGGATCCTCGACTAGTTCATACAAAAATATGAAATCTTTTATCCAAATCGGAATCCCTGTGAATAAATCGTCTATGGTGGATTCTAAAACGATTTGAGATACATACCCTGTAAAACAAAATCAATAGTTCAATGATTCAGCATCCAAGCGACGAAACCGAGTTAGCAATTCGATGATAATGAGGAAGAACACCACGAAGAGGACGAGAGAGGAAGTTACAAAAAAAAGGATCGAGGAAAGGAGACTCGACTCGAGAGAGAAAGAATAGAGAGAAGAGATTAATTCATTAATTTAAGTTTAAATCGGACAGGGGCACTTTAGAGAATATCAGAATAGATAAGAGTATGCCAAAATTCGTAAAAGTATATGAAAATACTTTTTGCCTCATTAAGAGCATCTGAGATTATTTCCCAAACCATATGTGCACATCAAACCGAACCAAAATGACATTGAACCGGTTTAAAATTGAATGGTTTGGGTTGGGGTTAGCAAACACCAACGATCGGTTATTGAAAGGCGTGCGTGAGTATTGCCTTCTCCTTTGGTCACTCATGTGATTACTGACTGCAGATGTGAAGCCAAAAACAGATAGAGAATCTTTGAACCTTTTTAAAACTCGATTCATCTGTCTGTCTCCACGCTGCTCGAAACTGAAGCTGAAACCAAAAGAGATGTCGTTTGAGGAGTTTAAGCCATTGAACGAGAAATCTCTCGTAGAGTACATAAAGGCAACGCCTTCCCTCTCCTCCAGGCTCGGAGACAAGTACGAGGATCTGGTGATCAAGGAAGTTGGAGATGGCAATCTCAACTTCGTTTTCATCGTTGTCGGATCCACTGGTTCACTCGTCATCAAACAGGTTCTTTTTTTTTTATCTCATCTAATAGCATAAGAGATTCGTTATCACTTCTACTTCTATAGCCGGTCTAAATCAGGAATTAGGGTTTACCTTTTGTAAATCGAATCGAGTTTTTCGATGATGGGTATTCGAGATTAAAGCCTTCTCAATGCAATAAACAAACATATCTGTCTCTGTTGTCTGAAAGTTGTTACCTTTGTCTTAATCTTGGAAGAGATTCAGTTTGTCTTCCCGTTTTTAAAGGTTGTGCCTTTCTGTTGATAATGAGAAAAAGCTTTGATCTTTTCAAATATAGGCGCTTCCGTATATACGGTGTATTGGGGAGTCATGGCCAATGACGAAAGAAAGAGCTTACTTCGAAGCAACAACTTTGAGGAAGCATGGAGGTCTGTCGCCGGATCATGTTCCTGAAGTCTACCATTTTGACAGAACGATGGCTTTGATTGGAATGAGGTATCTGGAGCCTCCTCATATCATCCTACGCAAAGGACTCGTTGCTGGAATCGAGTACCCTTTCCTTGCAGAACACATGTCTGATTACATGGCCAAAACTCTCTTCTTCACTTCTCTCCTCTATCATGATACCACAGAGCACAAAAGAGCAGGTTCCCTTTCTTTTTTTTTTTGGATCAGCTAGAACTCAAGATTGATTCTCAGAAAACCTGATTTTGTGTCTTTTGTAGTAACCGAGTTTTGTGGTAATGTGGAGCTATGCCGGTTAACGGAGCAAGTAGTGTTTTCTGACCCTTATAGAGTGTCTACGTTTAATCGCTGGACTTCACCTTATCTTGATGATGATGCTAAAGCTGTGCGGGAAGATAGTGCCTTGAAGCTCGAAATCGCAGAGCTTAAGTCAATGTATGAGTTTTTTGCTACTATTTTCAATTACCGTTTGCTTTGTAAACTAACAACCACTGTGTATTTATTGTGTTGTTAGGTTCTGTGAAAGAGCTCAGGCTCTAATACATGGTGATCTTCACACTGGCTCTGTCATGGTTACACAAGACTCAACTCAAGTTATAGATCCTGAGTTTTCGTTTTACGGACCAATGGGTTTCGACATTGGAGCTTATCTTGGTAACTTGATATTGGCTTTCTTTGCACAAGATGGACATGCTGCTGAGGGAAATGATCGGAAAGTAAGCTGTTTCTTCTTTCTTCTCATCATCATAATCTAAAATGTTACAAGCATGTCGCTTTAAATGAGACCAACCTTACTCTGCAAATGCAGGAATATAAGCAATGGATCTTGAGAACCATTGAGCAAACTTGGAATATGTTTAACAAAAGGTTCATTGCACTATGGGATCAAAACAAAGATGGTCCTGGAGAAGCATATCTTGCAGATATCTATAACAATACTGAGGTTATGCATCTTGTTCAAGACAAGTACATGAGGAATTTGTTTCATGACTCGCTCGGATTCGGCGCTGCTAAAATGATTAGGTGAGAGAGAGACTGCAAAACTCAAAGATTTCTTTGTGGATCTTGAATATCTTGTTGATAGTTATATAACTTACATCTTTTGGTATTTGATTAGGAGAATTGTGGGAGTAGCACATGTGGAAGACTTTGAATCGATTAAAGATGATAATCAACGAGCGGTTTGCGAGAGAAAGGCGCTGGAGTTTGGGAAGATGCTTCTCAAGGAAAGGAGAAAGTTTAAGTGTATCGGTGAAGTTGTTTCAGCAATTCAACAACAAAGCTGAGTCCTACCTGTCTTAATTTTTGTGTGTGTGTTCCTTGTGCTAAAGAAAAAAAAAACAAAACAGATGTTGAAACTTGAAAGTCCCTTTGCTTTGATGATCTTCTTGGCTGGAGTTCTTGCCATTGCCATGAAAGATCTCACTGTTTAAATAAAAATAAGCACAACATATTCCTTATTTGCTATATGAACCAACTAACAATGAATGTCAAAGGTATGAAACAAACAGAATATAAAAGGTCAAAGAGCTCATACTGCTTCTGCAACTTTTGAAAGAGACGACATGCATGCAGGGAAAGGCACTGCTTTGATTTATTGGTCCGAAAGAGACGTTTGTTTTCTTGAGACACAAGGTATTCCAATTAATTTTATTTAAAATAAAATAAAACACTTAGATAGAACAATATAAATAAAATCCAAAACATAGAGCTACAAGAAATCTGAAGTAGTAAAAAAAAAACACAGAATGAAAGACGCATGTTTGCACTACGCTGGAACATGTTGTACAGTATGGTCAAAATTGAGAACAACAAATATTCTCTGATCTTGATACCAATAGAGTTTCAGAATTTCGCCTACTTGGAGATCTAGTGAATATTTCATGGTATACCAACCATCCCCAAATTCGTATTTGTTGTCTCTAGACCTCAGGGTAACCATGTATTCATCGCCTTCCTCTAAGTCAATTACTTTCACTACCTTGCCGTTTTGCAACTCTTCAGCTGTCACACCACCATCCATCCTCATCAGCACAGACTCAGTTTGTTGCTTCGGCAATATCACATTACGTTTAACATCACTCTTGGTTAGTTGTTTTGATATGATCAAAGCAGCATCTAATGGATCGCTCAAAAGCGTTGATCCGATAGTCTTCATAGTTTTTTTTTCTTCTTTTAAACTAGAGATATAACTTTGAATGTAGGAAGAATAATGCTTCTATATTTTTTTCATCTTAGATGCAAACATATATATACAGAAAGGCTAACTCTGATACATCAAAAATATTCATTCCATTTAAAAAATGGACTATTGTGCATATCTAGTATTTTTTCTATTACTTTACCAAAGAAAAAGGGAAGACAGCATAGGTTGAGAGAAAATAATCATATTTTATGAGCAGAGGTATGTTTATAAAAATAAAAATTTCCATTTACATAACGTAGATTTTCTTATATTTTTATTGGAAATTTTATGACTTCAACCTCAAGAAATGGCTGATTTGATGAGTAGAGGTATGTTTACACAATGCAGGCAAGAAAAGTAATACAACCGAAGAAAAAAATTCAGAAAAACTTCCATTACCAAAACATAAATTTTCTATATATTTGTTGCCAAAATTGTGACTTAAACATCACTGACATATGGCTGGCTCTTGCATCAAACTAGGCATGTTCAGTTCAGATTTCGTTCCAGTTTCGCTTTGATATTTGGGAGAATTGCTAAAAACACTCTAAAATTTTAAATTAAATACAAAAGTATACCTTATTTTCAATCAAATGAAAAATCAATTTAAAGAGGTAGGAAAATGTCTATTTATTCTTTATGACTAAACAAAAAACCAGAATATTATTTTACATTTCTATTCTTAGGAAGTCTACATTTAATAAAGAGAAGTCTACAAGGTATAGTCTTCTCGTGAAGTCAATAGTATATACTTATTATGAAGTCTACATTCTAAGTTAATCTTATAATTTTATTTTGAAAATGTACAAAAATAAATTATGTGATATGTCTTTTAGGTCATCAATATAAGAATCAATATGAGGTATCTAAATTAAAATTTGATATAATTAAACAATTTTAACGAATATATCTTGATTAGGTAATTATGTGTTGGACAATGTTTATGGTTTAGCAAAAGATATTCTAACATATGATGTCTTTTAGGGTTAGATTTTAGATTTAGATTTTTTTTTGTTATTATTGACTTAAATATATATATTAATATTGAGTAATTTATATTTTGTATAGCTTAACATTTGATATAATAACTGAAACTGATTATGAAGAAACTTTTAGAGTTTGGAATTTGTGGCTTAGGGAATGATAGACTTACAATAATGTTTACTTATTGTAAGTAGACGTTCTTTGTAGTCTACTAAAATTGAAAATCACTATTTCAAATTAATTTTAGTTTTTAACTTATAAAATTTGAAATAACATATTATAAAAATCAAAACAATAAGGGTCTCAAACAATAAAAAAATAGTAAATCATATATTAAAACTATTATTCAAACAATAAAACAGTAAAAAAAGCGTAATGCCAATTACATATTTATGAATAAAAATGTATAAATCATATTTATGATACAATAACTGAGACCTTTTTGGTTAACAATCAAACTTACAGTGTTTGAGTTTTGTGATTTAGAGTTTGGTAGACTTATAATAAATTCTACTTCAGTATAGACTACTTTAATTTAAAAATCATCATTTTAAATTAAATTGAGTTCTTTATGAATTAAAATGAGAAACTATATAATATAAGTATTAAAACTAAAGAAATAAATTAAATAATTTATATATTAAAATTATTAAGATAATAGTAATAAAAACAATAATGAAATAGTCTTAGTAGATTTCAAAAAAATCTACTAAGTAGACTTACAATAAAGTGTACTCCAAATTTTTAATTATAGTAGACTTCAAAAGAAGTCTATACTGTCGAAATTTTTAACCTAGTTACAATTTTTGTCTCCCTATATAAATGAAATTCAGACAATCTCTCTCTAAAATGGCTGCACAAGTTTCTAAAAAAAACTCTCACTTCCCTCTAAAACTCTCTCATTGCTCAATTCTTTGAAGGTGAAAATGCATTTTTGTTTAGTTTGTTAATTTTTTATCATGTCTTTTTCACAATATTATCTTGTGTTGTAGGTTAAATCTTTATCACTACATAACAATACAAAAGAAGCCTACAAATTAAACATAAGTTCATTCACAACAACAGGTAACTGAGCTATTTCCTGTAAAAAAGATGAGGGTTTACATAGTTAGCGATCATGTTTAAAAAAACTATAAAGTAGACTTACCAATACGTCTACTATTATTAGCTAACTACATGATCAAACCAAAAGTATCATAATTTCATAACCATAACATATTTTCTTTTAAAAACCACTCAAACATATTAGGATTAAGTTAATCCGATTAACTAACACACACTGTCAAACAAAAAAATCTTGAAAAAACTTAATGAATAATACATAAATTTACTTTTAATATATTTTCAAACATAGACTCCATAAGCAGTCGACGTAAAAGTAGACGTTCGTTACAGTTTACACACAAAGGCTCCATAAGAAGTCTTCTCTTTAGGTTAGTTTTTGCAATTGAAAAATTTATGGGTTACTTTCTATATTTGAAAAAATATTGTGATTTTATAGATGTAGACTCCCATTTTAGTCTACATATTAAAAATGTTTGTTTTTTCAATTGACCAAAAATCACCAAAGATTTGACTTATGGAAGTAAATTTTAGCGGCAGTCTACATATTTGAATTTTTTTTAAAGGTTAGTTTTGCAATTGACCAAGTTTAACTTTCTATTAGGAAACGGAAACAAATGTCTACATACCTGTTGACTTCACACGAAGTCTACCCTCACATACGGGGGGTTAGTTTTACATTTGACCAAAATAAAATAGTAGACTTCGTGTGGTGTCTATCTTTTTCTGAAATTAGTATACTGAAATTGAAGATTACACTTTTTTTTTCCTTTTTGGTCAACTTTTTAACATTTTAGTCAAATAAAAAACTAACATATTCAACGGAGTCAAAGTTTGGGTCAAATACAAAATGGACCTTTTGTAGACTTCTCGGGTAGTCTACAGTATGTAGATTGTCAAGGAACTCTACTTTGAAAAGTCAAAAATTCGGTCAAATGCAAAACCAACCTCTTTTACGTAGACTTCTTTGTAAGTTTACCTCATTTTTTGTTTTTGTTAACAAAGGTAATGACGTAGACTTCCAGGGAAGTCTTCTTTACAAAAAAGTTATTTTGGTCAATTGCAAAACTAACTTGTATGTTGACTTGTAGACCGCAGTGTAAGCCTACACATATGCGTAGACATACGATACAGTCTACTATCATAACACAGATCTGAAAAATGACGAAAACCATGTAAATAAGTACCTTTTCTGGTGTAAAGCTCGTTTCCACCTTTTTTCCACCGTCCAAGCTCCAAATATGAGCCAAAAGAAGCAACTTTGACGACTCACAACGGAGTACACTCAAAAATATGAAGTTATGCTTATGAAAATGAAAGTTATGAGAGGTTTTAAGATGAAAATAGAGAGAAAATGTGAGGAAATGAAGATTTTTTTGCTTATAAATAGAAAAAAAAAGTGGTTGAAAATTGAATTCTAAAAGTTTAAAGAGCTCAAAAATGGTTGTTAATGGTGGTTGAAAAATTTATGATAATGGTATTGTAGTAAATAAGAAGAAATGTTTAAAGTGTAATAGGGTTTTTTAGCATTTTCGAAATAAATAAAAGATAAATATAATAGTAACGAATAGTAATGAAAAAAAAGAAAGAGGTTGTTTTGGGGTTGAATTGAATTTGTAAGTTGTTTTTGAAAAACACCCTTGATATTTTTGGTATTTTGGTTTATAAAAATTAGATGTCATATTAGAACTATATATAATTTAGTTTAGTTTTAGTTTATATACTATCGGTTTCAGTTTATTAAGTTTTATCCAAAAACTATAGATATGTTTATCTTTTATGATAAATTTTAGTTTATATGATTAAAAATCAGATTTATTGAAACACAAATATATATTCCTTACTTTAACTGTCAAATAGAATATTTTCTTTATTTTGATATTAAAATGAAAGTAAGAAAATTAGTAATATCATAATATTATATATAACTATATTTTAACAAAAATATTTTTCATTAAAAGTAAAAAAAAAAAAAAAAAAAAAAATAGGGACATTTGCTAAAAACAACCTAAATTTCAAATCAAATGCAAAAGTGTACCCCAATTTTAATCAAATGAAAAACTAACCTAAAGGAGGTAGGTAAATGTCTATTTACTTCTTATGATTAAACAAAAAACCAGAATGTTATTTTACAATTTTATCCTTATAAAGTCTATATTTAATAGAGAGGAGTCTACAAGGTGTAGACTTATCATGAAGTCAATATTATAAACTTATTACAAAGTCTACATTCTAAGTTAATCTTAAAATTTTATTTTAAAACTATATAAAAATAAATTGTCTGAAATTTATTTTTGGTAATCAATATGAGGTATATAAATTAAAATTTCATATAATTAAACAATTTTAACGAATGTATATTGATTAGGTAACAATAATAAAATAGTCATAGTAGATTTAAAAAAAGTCTATTAAGTAGACTTAAAATAAAGTCTACTAAGTAGACTTACAATAAAGTCTACTCCAAAATTTTAATTATAGTAGCTGCAAAAGAAGTCTATACTATCGAAATTTTTTAACATAGTTACAATTTTTGTCTCCCTATATAAATGAAATTTAGAAAATCTCTCTCTAAAATAGCTGCACAAGTTTCTAAAAACTCTCACTTCTCTCTAAAACTCTCTCTCTCTTCTCTCTAAAACTCTCTCATTGCTCAATTCTTGGAAGGTAATTCTTTGAAGGTGAAGATGAATTTTTGTTTAGTTTGTTAATTTTTCTATCATGTCTTTTTCACAATATTATCTTTTGTTTGTAGGTTAATTCATGGTTATGACCTTCCACTCTAAAAATATAAGTCTTATATCTATAGATTTTAAATGTGTAAACAAACTCTTTGCATTTACTTTGCTAATATTTTATCTTATAAATTCGGTTTTTAAGGTTTTGTTTTTAGAGTAAAAACTATATCTCACATTTTCACATGTACA